CTTCATCCGGTGTCCATGTCCAATATGTAGTCCTAGTAAACCAAACCTGAGGAGGATTTGTCACTTTTGAACAGTAAGTGTCATTTTCACCCTGAATGATTGGATAAGCTTTCACTTGTACTGTAACTTGTGAGTTGAAAGTTTCTAATCCATCAAAGAATATACCCGCTCCATCACGTTGAACTGGAATAGTGCATAAGAATGAAGTTTGGTCTTTCCATGTTCTAGCTAATGGCGTGCCATTATCATCATTCAATGGTCTAGTTAATGAGTCCTCGTATTCTTCCGTGCATTCATTCACTCCATCTAAATCAGAAGCTTGAAGCATACGTGTAAAGAATATGTCGCCCACTGTGGTCATCGCTTGATCGGGGAAGTTTCTGGAATCTATAGTGACCTGAAGACCTCGAAGCATTGGATTTTCTAAAACCGTTCTTTGCATTGCATTCTTCGGAAATGTTAACACAACATCTGTAACATTATGAAGAGCGTATGAGAAATCTGAGCTGATACCTTCAGGAGTGATGCAACCTCCATTTAGTGAACGAACGTCAATATGTTGAGCTGGAATCATGAATGGATCTTCCTTACTAAATAAACGTGGTATTGCTTTAACTGATTCTTCAATTAAACCGTATCCTGGTGTAATGCATTTATCCTCTAAAACTTCCATCTTTGTGCATGAAATAATAACGTCTTCAACTGTTGCGTCAGCAGATGTAGTGGCTAAGCTTGTAATTAATTTTGCAGGAAGTCCGATTTGTTGGAATTTGCGATCGTATTTATAAACATGATTCATAATCTTTTCATAATTTTCATCAGTTATCTTTTCATAAACATAATTTTGTAAATCAGCAACTCTTAACGGGTCAACCTGACAAAATACTAAAGTATCCCTGAAAACATAATATTTAAGAATGATTTCACCAAATGATTTAGGATAATCATCGAACGCCTGAAATGCTAACAAATCATTTACCGGAATAATCATATCAAAAGTGATATCAACTTCTTCATTTGCTTTCTTGAAAACTTCTGAAGGGTCAATATATTTACCACATACTGAGTTATCATATTTTGAACATTATTATATAACGAATGAACAAACTTTTTAACTTTTCTTTCTGATTTCGGTTTATATGTTGCAAATGCGAAAGATTCACGGGCGCAATCCATCTGAAGATAACCAGCATCACCTCTTTCGGTTTCTACTTCTAATTGCTTAAAGCTTTGATTTGATGATTTGTAACCAACGAATAAACGCATGCATTTAAAAGCGGTATCACATGTGAAAGCTTTATTTGAAACTAGAGTTGCTTTAACTTTGCGTTTAATATATGTGTCACCTAATTGGTTCACATCATGAGCTGAATTTGTAATTCTTAAATGAGTTTGTTTATCATCAAAATATGGAGTATCAGAGTCATAACATGAACTTTCAAGTTCTCTATAATATCTTCTTCCGTCATTCTTTGCGAATATTTCATTTATCTTTTCGAATGAATGAAACACAATTTCCATTAATCGGTTTTGTGTTGGCACTAAATAGTTAGTCGTCATTTATTATTAAATAAAAAATCAAAATTAAAAGATGAAAATGAATTTTTAATTTAATGAAATAATCAACTATGGCTGCAGGATTCTTTAAGAAACTGTGGGATAAAGTAAAAAGAGGAGCGCATAAAGTTTGGGAAGGATTAAGAAAGGAGCAAATTGGATATTTAAGAATAAAGAAGCAATTAGTGACGTTGCTGAATCAATAACGCCAAAAGCTGCCCCAATAAGAGAAATTTTAAATAAAGGAGAAAAAGTTTATCAAAGACTTCAACCGATACTAAGATAAAAATAATATTTATTTATTTTTCCACTAACCACCTCCTATTTTATTAAGTATTCCTTCAGCTATTCCACCAATTGCGTTACCTGCTTGTGCTCCCATCGCCGGATTACCTGCTTTAGTACCTAATACTCCACCTATGATAGTTCCTGCCGTTTTCGCTACTGGTGCCAAAAAGTTAGCAACAGGTTTAATAACCTTTTTTAAAACCCAACCTGCAGCTTTCTTAATTCCATCCCATAATTTTTTAAAGAATCCTGCCGCCATTTCTGATTTAATATTAATTAAAAAATATATTTCATCACTTATATTCTAATTTTTATTTAATGATAAATGAAACCGATTTTAAAAATAAATGAAACAAAGAGGAAGAAATAAATGAAAGTGAAAATGTTCAACAAAAAATAAACGTTGTTAAACCAATTACTGAAATAAAAATTTTTTCATCTGTTGAAGAATTTAATGACTATTATGCTAATAATAAAAAATTATTTGAAGAATTGACAACATGTAAATTGAATAAAATGTTTAAAGTTGAGGACAGAGTCCAAGACCCGGAGGGTCATGGATTCAAAATTTCAAAAATAAAAGGTGTTGTTAGTTTAAAATCTATTCCTCAATCAAGAATCACCTCATTAATGAAAATAGATGATTTAACAAAAAGAATAGAAATTATTGAAGAAAGAATGAATCAAATAATTGATTTCATAAATCATGACTCGTTGAGCCCGGGTCCTTAAAGCCCAGGACTTAAAGTCCATCACTGAGTTCAAGGTTATATTCATCAAATATTTCATTATTAAATGCAACTTCTGCTAGTTTATTTATTTTTTCAATACGATCATTTGAAAGTCTATCGTTTAATTTTTTCTGAAGTTTTTCATTTTCTAGTTCTGAAACTTTATTTGGATGATATTTAAACCCGTTAAATTCTTTTTCCTCAGTTTTGATCATTAATTTACAAAGAACTTTTGTGGTTGGAATTCGTTTAAACCATTTATCATTAATATTTGTTATAAATTCAATATCTGGAATTAATTCCCAAATTTTTGCATTTTCAATTAATTTATTATCAAATGCAAAAGCAATAGGTTTAATATTAAACTTACCTTTATAATATATACTTTCTACATAATCATCGAAATAAACATCTACTTGTTTAACATTTTCAAGAATTGGTGAAAGAACATCCATTAATTGATTGACGGTTACGAATCTTGATCCACTCATTTTCTTACGAATTAAAAAAATAAATTATTCAAAAAATGTAAGACATGAATTTTTAAAGTTTATTTTTTTATTTTTTTTATTTTTTTTTATTTCATTATGTATGGGTTTAGTGAAAATTTCTTACGATTCTGAAAATTTTTAAATCTTGATTTATTCAAAAACGTAAGAATAAAAACCGTAAAAATCATACATTTTTTACTTCATATGTAAAAAAAAATGATACAAAATCGCTCAAAAATGTATGAATTCTTACGTTTACAAAAAAAGTCACAAAACCCGTCAACATATACTACTTTGTTTTATTGGATTCTTTTTCTTGTCATATTTATCTTTGTTTTATGAAATCCTCTCAATGTTAATGAATGTCCTCTTAGTATTGCAATCAAAGCAAATTCAATAGAAATCGTCAAATTATTGGTTGAACATGGTTCTGATGTTAACATGACACTTGTTCTCTTTCTTTTCATATTTTTCTTTGTTTTATGAATTTTTCTTTCTTTTCATATTTATCACTGTTTTATTTTATTCTCTTTCTTTTCATAATTATCATTGTTTTATGCTATTATCTTTCTTTTCATAATTATCATTGATTTATGAAATTCTCTTTCTCTTCATATTTATCATTATTTTATGAAATTCTCATTCTTTTCATATTTATCATTCTTTTATAGAATTTTCTTTCTTTTCATATATATCATTGATTTATGAAATTATTATTCTTTTCATATTTGTCATTGTTTTATATTATCCTCTCAATATTGATGAATGCCCTCTTAGCATTGCAATAAAAGAAAATTCAACAGATATATACAATTTCTTAGTTGAACATGGTGCAAGGAACTCAAATAATTCTCTTTTGAGCTATAAGATTCTCTATTGAATCAAGATATTGCAGTATCTGCATAATTTAAGAATAAACACTTCATATTAATAATTTATAATTAAATAGTTGTATTCAATGATGTTCAATATTCCATCCCATTGTGAGCATTTCTTATGACATTATGCAAATATCAATGAAAAAATGTGAAAATGGTCAAACAGCTCTTCATATTGCATCAAAAATAATAGGAAAGAAACAGCCAAACATCTTATTTCGCATGATGCAAATATCAATGAGAAAGATAATATTGGACAAACTGCTCTTAATATTGCAGCAAAATATGATAGCTGAGAACCAGTTAATCTTCTTCTTTCACATGGCGCAAATATCAAGGAAAAAGGTGAAGATGGACAAACTTCTCTTCATATTGCAGCAAAAAATAATTGCAGATTCACGATACTGATTTTACGCAATAAGTAAATGTGTATAAAATTTAACGCTGCACTTACGCCCATCTGTAATTTCAATTTCTGAGAACAAGCTGAACTATCAATGAAAATTAGTTTTGAACAACTTAATTGAATGTCATGTCATTCGAGCGTGAGTGCACCTTTAAGATATATGATATGAAGCATTACTATTAATATAATCTTATAAAATATCTGAACGAAAACTATCAAAATTAAGTCATAAAAAATATAAATATAGGATGCTAATTTATTGTAGATTCATAAAGTTAAAAGTGTGGGTGTTGTCCTCTATATAATGCGTTCTTAATTCTATAAGCGCTTCATAATCAATAGATACTATTTTAGAATAATCATTCTCTATTCAGTTTTGTCACTCAATAAGCAAGTGTGGTGTTACCATTTCTAGCCTGAGAAAAGCACTCATATTTTTAGAACTCTTTGCTCTTAGTCTCTCCATCATTTCCCTTTGCTTCTTAATCATTTCCAATTGATATAAGATATATAACAACTGAAAGATGATCATATTGTGCTGCATAAATGAGTGGAGTAAATACATGCATATTTATCAGCTCCAACATATTTAAGATGACTTATTTCTAATAAATAGAATTCTTTATAAGTTGTCACTTTTCTTTTTTTTATGAAACAATTTCCCAGTGAACAAGATAAAACATTTCTTAAAATGGTTTTGGAATTTGAAGTCAATCCCACCGACACATTTGACATTAAGGAACAAGATGATAAAACTTTAAATTCATCTTTAAAAATCTTCAAAATGCAACTTCGTGCCTTAAAAATCGCAATAGATCAATTCGATCCTTCATCAGATGCATTTTATAGATCAATATTTATATGGTTTGAAGATTTTTTGAAAGAAGAATACAAAAATACTCAAGAAATGAGTATTTCTACACATCTTGTTACACATTTTCTTTCAAGCTTTATTAATATTCTTGTTTTGACCCTTCCAGACATAATTATTCTGCAAACAATCCTCAATGTTGTTGAGCCATTGATAAAGAAATATCCAAACTCAACATTTGTTCACAAATTCGAAAAAATTTCAGTAATTTGTCATATCCTTCTCTTCCAAAATTCTTCAATTTTTATAATTGATTCAAGAAACGAGTTAATTGACCTTCCCGAGCAAGCATCGAGTTGCCTTTACAAATACTTCCTGAACAATCCCTCTTGTTCGTTAAATTTAGTTCAAGCAATTGTTTTTCCGAATTTTAATACGAGTGACTATGAAAACATCGAACAAATCTCATCAGAAATTATATTCCAACCTTCGCTTTACGCTCTTTTACTAGAAAATTCTCAAAATATCAATGATATTTTGTTTGTCAAAATTTTTTCAATAATTCGTCAAATTATTCACAACATATTGAATTCTCAAGACATAGATTTGGAAACCATAGTGTTTCTATCGAAATTTCTTTCATCAGGAGACGTTTTTCGAGGTTGTTTTTGCCATTATCTTTTATTACTTCTTTCTATACGAAAATTTTGGAAATACGGAACGAATTTCTTATACAAACTCAGATGCAAGACAGGAGCTTCAATAATTAAGCAAATTTTGATTTATAATACAACTTTAGAATTTTATTCACTTGTTTCAGAGAAAGGAGCATTTATATCACAAGAAGTATATTCACTACGCGATTACTATGATTCCGAAACACTTTTGGCGTTAAGAGCGTTCTCAGAATGGAAAGAATTAGATTTAAGTCTCATTTCAAGGAAATACGAAGATCCGGAGATAAACCAGCGGTTGTTTACAACAATTTGTGTCTTACTCAAGCTCAAATCATTGGAATTATTGAATTTCGCTCAAATAATTTTGAATTCATCAGATGAATTTTATCAATCCTTGATAGAATTGATAAATCTCTCAAAGAATACTCAAGCTCGTATGAATCCAATGACAATATCCCTGATTTCGGGATGTTTTCTCTTATTTTATGGTATTTTATCGGGAATTACTAATGATAAGAAGTACGATATCTTCAGAAACATTTTATTTGAGTTTTCTATGAATGCTATTAACTTTGTATTCAGCGCAAACATTACTCCTGATAGATTTGCGATACAAGACGCTTTATTACGCCAATTGAATGCAGGTGTTGCCTTTATGAACAATGAAGGAATGAAGTTATCCATAAGGTACAGCTCTGATCCAAATTTGGCCATTGTTCGTGCGTATTTAATTCATAAGTTGAATTTTCAACCATGTTCAATCATGGTTGGCGTTTTTTGCGACATAATAAAGCGTGAGAATATCATTTCCTACACAATTGCCTGCAAATTAATGGAATCCATGTGTATAAATGACCCTGGGAATATGATATTTAGCGCATTTCTTGATTATATGACTGATCTTGTCCACGAACTTGAAAGCGGCGGTGATTACGATATAGTTTCAAGGATGGCTATAAGATTTCTCATTGCTTTCGCAGTTGGCCTGAGAAACGTCACTTTTGAGAAAATTAGTGATTCAAATTTATTCGAAATTGTTGTTGGAATTTTGAATGAATTTGTAGAGAAAACGACATACAACCAGATTGAATTTATCACAGCATCCATCATGCTACTTCTTGCTCTCTCGGAAAAGAAGAAACAGATGCTTATTGATGAGAATATTTTTTGTTATTATCTAATTCGCATTGCAGAGATACCATCTTTGCTTGCTGATCTTATACTTGACTTCGAGATGCTTTATTGGAGCATACCTGATACAAGACCTCATTCATTTGACTGGAATAGCGTATTTTGTAGCAAATCTTCAAAGATTAAGGTGTTTGTTGAAACATACAACAAAAGATTCAATGGAAGCATTGACTCTGCAGCTGCAATTGAGTATCCAGACGAAAGAATTATGTCTGATGTCTTTTGGAAGCAAGTTCCTCGTGAATTTGTGTTATTACATAATTCAATCATGGCTCAGAAAGTAATGATTAGAAGTAATAAATAAAAGTTATATTGTTATTTTATAAAGGTAATTTCAGATCTTTTTTTCACAGCCTTTTGAGAGACCAAACTTTGGAAGTATATTTTATTATGTGACTATAATAACTTTTTACTATCAAAATTTGAAATCAAAAAGAATCAAAATTCTCTAGCATACCATTGTTTTTGTCTCAAACGGCTATTCGGTATTAAAAGCAAAAATAATAATATACTAGAGAATTACACTTTTCCGATATTTATGAGTTGCTTCTTGCACCTGTGAGGAGCACTTTAGTTTCTGGTGGGACGAACTTTAAATTGAATGGTCAATTTAAAGGGTTTTCCTACAAGTGCAAAAAATACGCAAAAACGATTATTTTACATTCAAACTGCGCATTATTTGTGTGTTTAAAAATATATCCGCGTAAAGTAGTCAAAAGATGTAAGCATTTTTTCTTTAATATTATATACATATGCAATTGTGGCTATACTTTATTAATGGTTTTGATTATTTATAATAGTCAACTCCAAACTTTTTCAAATGCGCAAAATATGCGCAGATTCAATTTTAAATAATCGTTTTTGCGCATTTTTTGCACCCCATGTAAAACCCAATTTAAAGGAAGAATTCAATTTTTTGGTCAATTTAAAGCAATCATATATGTAGTTTGTTTTAAAGGCTTGATCAATAGTATATGATCAGTACTCATTGAGTATGTTATGATCTTAAGAGATAATGGATAGTACACTTTAATATTGAAATTGAATTTGGATTATTATGCAATATTCTATAATCTATATTATGATGATCACAAGAATGTGTTGTATGTGATGACACTTAAGTATCATTGATATTTTTAATTATTGAAAAAGTTAGTAAATAATATCTCTTAATGTGATGTGCTATTTCGTGAATTCAATAATCATTGTTTTAGAATTTATAAGTATAAGCTGAAAATGATAAGCTAATAAGGACAAGCTGATGATGCCGGAATAAAAAATAATAATCTGTCAAAATGCTCATTTTAATATAAGAAAGTTAGGAAATGGACTTTGACCTTGAGAAAAAGCCCATTTTCTAACTTTCAGGCGAATTTTGGTTAACATTGCGAGTGTCTGCTGCAAATCTCTGCTGAAGCAGCAGGCACTCGCAATTGTAGGCCACGGCAATTGTATTTATAGTGTTAGAATGCATTGCCATGACTTTTGTGTAATCATTTGATCTTCTTGGAAGGAGTTGCAATGGAAGCCAAACACCACTCCATCCAGTATCAGAAAGCCAGGAAGGAAGTCTTAACCTTGAGAAAGGGCTTCCTTCTAGGCTTTCTGTGTTACATTGGATCATAATCTGTAGAGAAGGGAGTATTTGCAGATTCTGGCCTCTTATAAGGCTAGATCTTCGTATAGAAGAAGAATGTGGTATTTATAATTTATTGGAGCAAGGTTTTATAAGAAATGGGTTTAAAAATACATGGTAAAGGAATAATACCCTGCATTAGTAAACTCCTTTCTTGAATTGAAATCCAATGTTTCAAAATTCTTTGGAAAAAGTGCGAGTTTTTCCTGATTTACACATATAAATCCAATATAATAGCAATCTTTCACTCATAACAAATGTAATCTCAATCAAAACACATTATCTTCATAAATGTTAACAAATTTTTCTATTAACACATGTCTAATCATAAATAATTAAGCCTATTCATCATTTATCGTCTAATCAAATATAATTTACATTCTCATTGATAATTGTTATATAAAAATAAAATAGATTATATTTCAAATGAGACACTTAGAGTTTTTCTTATTTTAACATTGTAATAATATAGAATAGCATACAGATATATATGTAATAACGTATATATATATATGCTTATTTCTCTCATGTTTCGAAATGCAATGTGATATTGCACTCACTTTTTATAGAAATCTACCATACTCATAGAAATGATGACATATACGTTTGTCTATCTATCTACGTTGTAAAAACCTTCATTAGCCCTAAACTCAAAGTTTTTCTCATTCATTGGTTTAAATTGAGCAAAAAATTGAATACTTCCTTTAAATTGACCATTGAATTTAAAGATCGTCCCAGTTTCTGGTAGCGCCAGTATATACCTAAAGTTGTTATTTTCCAGATAATAGTAATCTTTAAGCGCACACGGTTCCCTATATATCTTATCCTTTTATTTTAGCTATAAAAAGAAATTATTTTCTGGACTTATTATAAACTTCCCTGACCAATGAATCTTTAATTAATGGGTTTTCATCAGTACCAACAGCAAGTTCTGTCATAAATTTTTTAATCTGCTGAAAAGTGCCGTTGTCTTCAGAAAATTTTGCCATTGCCTTATTGTATATTTCTGTCAGAGTCATTGATTTATGAAGATCATTTTTTTCATTTTGTAACTTTTTAAATGGTCTGCATTCGGGTATATGTTCCTTTTGTAAATCTTCGGAAACTGAACTGTTCCAACGCATACATTGCAGAAACATACAAATAATCTTTTAATTTTTGTTATCATTAGTAAATAATAGCTTTAACTTTTTAAGTTTTCTCCAAAAATAGATACTACTCATATGTATGAGCTACCTAAATGTTAATATCCAATATTTTTCACATTAATATGTTATATCAAAATTCCACTCTGTCATTATTTATTTTTATCCATTTTGTTTTATTGTTTCTAAATAAATTATTTAAGTTGGACGAAAGGTGGAAAATAGTATTGAATATTATTAGGCGGTATTCCCTCTCGGAAGCCTCGGGTCCTGGTGCGTTACACCACAGCCCCAAGTTTCTTTTGGTTGGAATCACATCAGTTTAAATTGTCAAAAATAATAATTTGACAGTTTACAAAAAATATTCACACCCCACTTTTGTTACCTACTCCAATAAGAACATTATAAACTCTAGAGTTTGATGTAAGGGTTGCATTAAGCATATCGTTTGCTCTTCAACCATTTAATAAGCAAATTATTGCAATCCAATTTAGAATATCTAAAAAGAAAAAACTATTTATTTGTAGTCATTCTATATCATTTATTTATAACAAAGCATCATTGTAATATCAATTTTCTAAACAATAAAAAAATAAATTTGCATATACTTAATTAACAGATTGTTTTTGTAATTCATTTTGCTTATTTTCCAATTTAACTAGCAGTAACAGCGAGTTCTGAGAAGGATCTAGAAATTGTCGAACTTCTTTTTCTTTTTGTTCAACTTTGAGCTTAAGATTTTCATATAACTTTGCAACTTTCTCATGATATTCTTCTTCATTTCCTTGTAAAGACTTAAGATTAAAAATTCTTTTTTCTAATTCAGCACAAAGCTGTTCGTTTTCAGTTAAGTCCTTTTCCCAATCATCATATATTGCTTTTACCTTATCGCAGTAATCATTTTGCTCTTTAAGAAGCTGTGTTTCTGAAGGATCAGTCATCTTAGAATTGTCACTTTTTTGCAAAAATGACTCAGCCTGGTTTTCAAATTCCAACTTCACAAGTAATAACTGGTCCACCTAAGCAGGAGAACTTACAACTTATAGAGAAAAAGCGTCGCTTATTAACAGAACTTGCTGCACTAGAAAGTGGTTTTTCTTATTTTGATTACTTAGATCCCTCCAGAAATTCATTACCAAGTAGTGCAACAGATGTACCTTGCTCGGTTGAACTTCTTTCTTCACCAAAAATCGAACGAAAATATTTGGATAATATTGAAGCTTCAAAAGCATTGGCTGATTTAATCGTTGATATAGCACAAAACCCATCTCCATTACCATACATTGGTTCACGAACTTCTCCAATTTGTAACGATATAGTTAAACATGCAAATGGCTTTTTCGCTCAATATGAAGCATCAAGAGAACAAAGAGCTGGTATTCTTACAGCGTTTTGCATCATTCCACGCAAAGATAAGCAAGAAACTACAACAAAAACTTCAGAATTACAAGAAAAGCCTGTGGAAGAAGATCCGTCAAAGAGAGTTCACCCATTCTTCCCAGATGTTCGCGATGTCAAGCCATTGCTCGGTTTAATCAAAGAACAGCTTGGTGAATTTCCAAATTTCATCAAGGATCCTCCTACAGATGCAGAATGCGAAGAAAATCGCTGGATGATGGGTGATAATGAGATTCATGATCATCTATTCAAGATTTGCGGTTCTTCAAGTGATGATGACTTTGATCCTGATGAACAACTAATGAAAATGACTCCATTGCAACCAGTTCAGCCAATACAGCAAATGCAAGTCCAAAATCCCGCTTTTATGAATCAAAATAGATAATTTATTTCTTTGTTTTGTTCTATTTTCCTTTAAAATAAGTTGTATATTTATATAAGCTCGCAACCAAAAGTGTTTTATTGCAGTTTTCATTTTTAGATGCATTTATTCGAGTTATCAAGCCTTTGCTTTTATTTATTTGCTGTTACATGATGCCCGTTTCCTAGAAAAATAGTCTTATTTGATCTTGATCAAGAAAAAATTTATTGGCATCAAATTGAGAACACTCAAAATCATTTTGAATGAAAACGATAAAGAAAAATTTTCAAATGATCTTTTTATTCCATATACAAATATCAATTTTTCGGAAAACGATAAAAAATACGATAATTCTCAATTTTTTTTAGGCAATTTCTGCATGACTGACTATCTTCCAATCATATGGGTTGGTCTTGCACTACTGCTTGAAATTTCCATTGGCTTTATATGCATTAAATTTAAAGTTTTTCCAAAAACGTATATCACTCATATCAACAAATTTGACTTTCGGATTGCTTTTCTTCCATTAATGGCTCGATCATTTGCTATAAGAAACCTTTATACGATGAATTTCAAGCCACTTTCATCATGTATCACAATGAGTCTTGTAACACAAATAACATTAGCGATTTTATGCTTTTCCATTCCATTACAAGATAAATTAGGTACATTCATTAGCATTCAACTCCCAGTTATCTATGTAAATTACGTAATTATTGGCATTCCTTTATTCAACGCTATATGGGGCGAAGAGAACAATGAAATTACGTCAGTCATTATTATGAGTAATGACCTAATCATAGTTCCTATTTATCAAATACTTTCTTCGATTTGGAAGATCCGAAAGAATAACCAAATCCGACGTGAAAACAATGAGCCTGAAGAGAAATTCTCATATAAGATTATATTACGGTCATTTTTTGCAATTTTCAAATCTCCAATTATTCAAGGAATTATAGTTGGAATAGCATGGTCGTTAACAAAAATAAAGCTTCCTATTTACTTAGATAAACTCATGCTCGTTCCGGCTCAAACAATTAGCGCTTGCGCTTTATTTTGCGTTGGAGGCTTTCTTGCTCAGCATTCGTTAATTGCGTGCAAGTGGTATGAATTTATTATTGCAATTTCATGGAGATTTATCATTATGCCGTTTTTTGGCTTATTATTTGGTTGGCTTATGCATCTTTCTAATTCCCAGATTAGACAATGCTGCACAATGGCATCTGTGACATCTGCTGTTGCAAGCTATCCGATGTCAAACGAAACAGGAGTTGGTCAAGGCATCGCCTCGACAATGATCTTCTGGACAACAATTTTATGTGTACCATTTATTATTGCTTGGCTGTACGTATTAGATTCGCTCAAACTATTTATTGAAAATTAGAAATTTCAAATATTTTTTATGTATTTTTGTTGTTTGTATAAATTCTATACAATAATGATTATAATTATATAATCTATTGCTACTTGTAAGTAATTTTAAAGTGGAAATGTAAAATAAAAAATCAAATTTATTATTTCTGTAATTAAATCAAATAAAAATGTAATGTATTTACTCACTGTCGTCATCAAGGTTACCACCAAGAGCAACAATGGCTTCTTCTACTAATGGCATTAATTCTTTGAGTTTCTTGAAATCTTCAACACGTAATGAAATTCCTTTCTTGCCAGGAAGCCATTCATCATCCTTGCAGTAAAGTTCCCTGATGTCAAACAAAATTTTTCCCTTGAATTTATGGACTTGGATACGCTTCTTTGCTTTTTCATCATCAGATAAAGGAAAGACGTAGGATGTCTCCTTCTTTTCTTGAACTGAGTAGCTATCAAGGCCTTTTTCAGCCATTTTTTATGAGCAACTTCTCCTTGTCACTTTTATTATCACTAATTTTCACCATCAAACTAAATTCCTTAATATATTTGTTCCCAAAATCATAACTACAATATTCCCAAACTGGGATAAAGCAGTATCTTCATTTTATTAGCTTAAATTTCTTCTAGTTTATAGAGAAATTTAAAGATTATCTACGGAATAAAGTTTACAAAATAATCGTTTTTAAACGTGCACTTTTTATAAATGATTGAACAACGAATATATGCTTTAAACATAATCCAAAAGATAAAAGGACATCCATTGTCAGCATTCTTTTATAAACCAATGAAAGATAACAAAGAAGCCAAAGATGATTATGATTCAAAAATTTCAAATCCAATTTCATTAGATATTATAGAAAAGAAAGTAGAAAACGATGAATACAGCTCTTTATTTGATTTTAGAGATGATATAAATCTGATGTTCGCAAATGTTCAAAAATATTTTCCAGAAGATTCAATTGTCTATAAAATATCAGATTATTTTCATAACATTATCAAAAAATACTTTCTTCCTTTTGATAAATCTAATTGGATAGCTGAAGTTTCTCAAAAACGAAACAAAATTCAAAATTTATTATTCAAACCTGTTAATTCTTCTTCCCAACAATCAGGAATCGATTTAACAAAGTGTATCATTGAGCAGGTTGTTAGTGAAGAGGTATATGCTCGTATGAAAAAGAACAACAACCTTTTATCTTCACCTGAGCATCAAAAAATCTTAATAGGATTAATCAATCATTATCAACCAGATATAGTTGGTACATCTACAACATTAAATTTAGATTTGACGAAGTTAAAACCTCCGACTTTACAAGCTCTTGATCAGAAGATGCAGGAACTGGCAAAAACGGTCTTAGACAAGCAGAATATTACTGAAGGTGAGCCATCTGAAACTAAAAAATCAGAAGAAACAAAATGAAACAAAATTTTAATAATTACAATCTAAATATCAAAAATATAGATATATATTGCTGATCTAACAATCAGTTCTTAATTGTTTGATAAATATTTGAATAAAAATAATTGTTTTTCATAATTTAATTTTATTAATTTCCTATAAAATGTGTTTAATTTCAAGTATGCTTATAAAAGGGTATTATAATGCACATTTCAAGTATTATTTCCTTTTATAAGCAATGGAATTATTAACTTTGCTCCATTGATATGTTCATCCTAACTCAAAAGCTTTATTGCACTAAATTTAATCTTTTATTGGTCTACCATAGGATGATAATTTGAATATTATCTTTCATTACTATACAAAAGGAGGTGAATTTGAAGTTTCTAATTTAAATCTATCTAATGGCCACCCAATTCTAAATTCTTTTGAAGCCATTTTGTTAACTCAAGGTTCAAGATAATAAGAGAGGAAGTGAATTTGAAGTTTCTAATTTAAATCTATCTAATGGCCACCCAATTCTAAATTCCTTTGAAGCCATTTTGTTAACTCAAGGTTCAAGATAATAAGAGAGGAAGTGAATTTGAAGTTTCTAATTTAAATCTATCTAATGGCCACCCAATTCTAAATTCCTTTGAAGCCATTTTGTTAATTCAAGGTTCAAAATAATAAGAGAGTTTATAATGTAATAAAAAAGCTCAAGATAACAAAAGACTCTGTAGTGTAATAAAAATAAACAAACAATTTTTTTTAATCTGAATAATAACTCGAATCAGATTCCTTTTGAGGAATTTTAACAGGACGAAGATCTACTTTTCTACGATTTGCCATACTGGCAGCAGAAACTGGTGATGTTGGAGGTGTTTCATCTGATAATTTGGATAATCTTGATGTAAGCTTAGGAGAAAGCTGTGGAGCATCCTGATCTATCACCTCTGAACCAATACTTGCATCACAAGAAGCAACATGGCTTGGGCTCATTTCTTCTTGCTCTTTCTGTTGAATTAATAATTTAAGAGCTTCGATTTCTTGATCTTTTTGCATGGCTTCCCTTTGCAATTGTTCATTTATGCGAGCAACAAATGAAAGAGTTGGCCTTGCTTCTCTAATGCTTCGACAATCAGATGGATCTAGTCGATGTAGTGTATCTGGCTCAATTTCTGCATCAAACATTTTTGGTTTGACTTCTGGAGCATTGTCTATCGTATCGTGTTTACGCTTTGGTGATTTTGGAGGGAATAATGAAGTTTTTGACGTATTCTTCGAATCATCTTCGAAATCTATATTAGAATTATCGACAGAGATATCTCTATTTCGTATTTCAGGTGGGGGAGGTGGTAATTGATCTTTATTTGATTTAATTTCAGATATATTTGTTGATTGGGAAATTGTGTGAGTTCTTGATTCAGTTAAGAGCGTTTCACGATCTTTTTTGCTAATTCTTCTGAGTGCTTTATCTGAGAATATAATTTCTTTTGGATCTTCGATGATTTCACCATTTTTGTTTTTCTTGACCCTGACGTGTATTCTTTTTGTTGGAGTAGAGTTTCCACTGTTCTGTGTACCTTGAGAGATTGGACTATCTAGTTTTGGAGGGGAAGACATGATAGATTTTGTTGGTGAAAGTGTAGATATAGTAGAATCGTGTGTAACAGGAGGTGCACGTAGCTGTTCGATTAGACTATCGCCCTGTCCAAGTTTTAAGGTATGAGAAATCCATTTTTCCGATCTATGTTTTTGTCGAATATGATTTTTAGCTTCTACTTCTAATGCATCAGCAGTAAAGTCCATCATGTGTTTGTTTATGTACTGTGCTACAAATTCTGCTGCTAAACGAGTAGCTGGCGTATCATGCAAATTAACGAACTTTTCTTTGTCGAATTTCGCTAATTTGCTTAACGATTCTGCAACAGCCTTCTTGTAGATGAATCTAATTTGCTTATCTGTCTCTGGAGTGGTACTATATGCTGGTAATTCTATTGATTTATCCATAAACAGACAAAGTTTTATTACATTTTTAGGGGGATCAAAAAATCTTGAGGTGGATTTGAAAATTTTCAAATAGATATTATAATTGTTCTTATTGCCTTCTAAATTCATTTTTTATCAATTTTGAATACGCTCTCAATTATAGTAAAATTTTGAGCTGATTTATCTCATCATCTATGGGGTTTAATAAGATTTTCTTTATGATAAAAAGTATATGCATGTCTATAAGTATATAATGAACTCATTTGTAGCTGAGTATAACAAATTCATGCCCCTAAAAAATGAAATTTAATTTGATCAAAATCATGATAATAATAATAGTCAGCTTCTATGAAAAAGCCATATTTACATGATGATAGATCCTTTCATAAAAAAGAATAAAATCATTCATTTTTTTAATGTTACATTCATATAAATTAGAAGATGAGGATGAGGATTTTAAAAAGATTGATAAGCTAGGACTTGAATATTTAGAAGCTTCTCAGCAAGATATATCATATGACCAAGAAACTCTGAATAAACAAATCCAACTTTGTTTAAATTCATTACAAGAAGGAAATGAACTAAATGTTTTAGAAGAACTAGATCAAATGTTTGCAAAAGTTGAAAGAAACACTGATGCTACTATAGATCAATTTGATTTACTAAATTTATTAGGGTCATTTGTCAATTCTGATAATTTTGAATTAGTCAACCACGCAACATCAATACTAAAAAACATCACACGCATTTCCGATTACGATATCCCTGTTGAAATTGCCGAAAAAATTGTTGAAAATCTACCTTGCCAGTATCTTATGCTTGAATCTGCTGGATATATTTTAACTTCAATAGATAGAAGAGATTATGCCGCTGATTATTTTCTTAAAGATTTAAATTTAATTTCAATAATTAATTCATTAGTTTATAGAAACTTTCAATTGCAGAATATTGAAGTTTTATTACAAATTGCTAGCTCATTACTTCGATATTCATCAGAAGAAGCACTAAATACGGTAGATCCAAACTTTACAACGACTTTGAAAGCCATGTTGAAATCAGAAAAAGATGAAATTGTTAGTATATCACTCAGATGTTTAGGTACATTAGTTCTTCGCAGCAAATATAATTCAACAGAGCTAATTACAGAAGGAATCAAGATTTTCTTACAAGCAACGAGTGATATACAAAAATATGATAAAAATGGATTCATACGTCAAGCATCGATGACTTTTCTATCAGAATTTTTAATGAGAGTTTCAATTTCAGATAATGAATACAAAAGTCAAGTTATTTTTAGTATTTTGGAATGTATAGATACAAAAAATAACCCAGATGAGAAATATGCCGATCTTTTAACCCATTTTTGTAGTCCTGGCGAAAATTTTTCAAATTATTATGAAATTATTACAAAATCAAAGAACTTCCAAAAGCTAATTATGAATTCTACAAACATGTCATTCCAAATACAGCAATGTATTTTGTATTTATATTCAAATATGATTATTCATAATTCAACACACGCAGTTTTGCTTGCGGGTGATAATTTTGGGGATGTATTCCAAGCATTCTTTGCAATTCTTCCTCGCTCTGATGAAAAAATAAGGTTTTCAATTTTGAAGGCAATTTTAGTTTTGTTAAAGGTTGATCAGAGCTTCAGGGAGTACATGGATCAGGAGGAGTTTGTGGATACCATGGAATTTATGAAAGATCTCGATCAGGCTTCTGCAGATTTGGCAGATAATATTATTCAATTGGCTATGGACGAAGAAGAAGATGAAAACATGGTTGACATTCTTCCCTTTTAGATATTTTTGAATGTTTTTATTAATTTTAATAAAAAATATTGTTTGAGAGCAAAATTAAATATTTTTTGACATAATCACACTAAAGAGACCTTAATTTAGTCATGCATCAAGCGTTCATGAGCCTATTATCTTATTATCCTCAAAATTACATAAATAGCAATGTGTTATGCAAATGTCAATATTAAATTGAAGCTATTGACATAAATCTCTTGTTTAAATTTCAAGCTCGTTGTTAAAAATTTCAATTAATCTCAGACGGGCGTAATTGTATCACTATAATACTTAGCAATTAAAATAAATATACACTCGCATATACACAAAGAAATAAGGTCGGTATTTCCGAATTTTAGCTTAAATTGAAAGCAACTGCAATGTTTACACTTGTTTAATTTTAAACATTAATATAAGTTTGATTAAAATGACTACAAGATGATACAAAATTATACCATATTTTCATATGAATGAGAGATAAATTCTTTCTATTGACCACAACTAAAAAGATCAATTATAGTTTAAGAGGGAATAATTTAGTTTCTTACTTCAAGTTAAAAAATGCTTTAAAAATGCTCATTGATTTGCTCGCCAAGCCAATCAAGACCTTCATAAAGGCCATCACCTGTAGTAGCACAGCATCCTTGAACTTTCCATGGCCTATTTGTGATTGTGTTCAATTTAAGTTTCATTCCGAGTTCTTGGGGTTTTACTGCGTTAGGCAAGTCTTGTTTGTTAGCATACACAAGTAAAATTGCATCTCTAATCTCATCTTCCTCCAATAACTTGTGTAGTGCTTCACATGCTTCATCGATTCTTCTGTAGTCGTTAGAATCAACAACAAAAATAAGTCCTTGAGAATTATGGTAATAATGCCTCCATAATGCTCTGATCCTGTCTTGGCCTCCAACATCCCAGATGTTCATATTGAAGTTCTTGTACTCAATTGTCTCAACATTAAATCCAATTGTTGGAATTGTCATGACATTTTCATTTAGTTTTAATCTGTATAAAACAGTTGTTTTTCCAGCTGCATCGAGACCAAGCATCAGTATTCTTGTTTCCCTATTAGAAAACCAGTGCTTGAATGTATCAGAGAACAATAATCCCATGATGTTTTATGAATTATGATTTCAACAAAAATTCAATGGGCATCAGAAAAAAATTCAAATAGAAACATCTGACCAAATTGTTTGCTTCAATTAATAATTTTGCAATTTGGAATGAATATATCAGATTTAGAACGAAATATCGTTATACTTGATAAAATTCCCAACGTCTGAAAATAGAACAATCGACTAATGTAAATTTCTCATTTTTTTGAATAGTATTGAATTTTGTCAAAATGTCATAAAACTAAAACTTATCATAATAAATTAACTAAAATAATTTTTACATTATTTGTCTCAAATAATTCTGTTTGCTAATACATTATTTGTTTAAAATAATTTTAATTTTCTTTTCGATCACCGTAATTTTCAATTTTATTCGAAGATTCTTTCAATTTTTGGAAATCAATAGTATTATCTAACATAATTCAAAAAGAAAAGTAAATATTTTATTCTGATCAGCATAAATTTAAATTATGTGATTTATTTTGTAACAAAACCATTCAAAACCTTCTTTGATTCCATATCCTGTTGTGGCACAGCACTCTTGAACTTTCCATGGCCTATCTTTAATATCTCTTAAATTAAGTCTGGATTGGAGGTCATCAGATCTTAAAGAACTTGGAAGATCTTGTTTATTAGCAAATACAAGAAGAACTGTATCTTTGAGCTCATCTTCTCCTAGAATATTGTGCAATTTTTCTTTTGCTTCTTCAATTCTATTTAAATCACTGCAATCAACAACAAAAATAAGTCCTTTTATATCATACAAAAAGTGTTTCCATATTGTTTGGAATCCGCCAATATCAAATATTTTCAATTTGAAACTACCGAATCGAAATTGCTCGAGATTAAAACCAGTTGTTTGCAATGACGTAATATTCTTCCCAAGCTTCAATTGATATAATATCGTCGTTTTACCTGATCCATCCAAACCTACCATCAATAAACCAATTTCTATATCAGAGAATAGCTGCCCCATGAAACCACACCTTTGTTAATTATGACAAATTAAGAAGTTTATCAAAAAAAAAATCGTTCTGTCTAATGCCTTTTTAGCCGTATACTTTTAAATGAGTTTATAATTTGGAGCCCACACATTGTAGATATAATGGAGGTACAAATATAAAGTTCCTTGCATAGTTTAGCGGAATTTTGCATAGGGTAATTAGAGAAAAAAGTTAATTAATTAAAACGAATTCTTTTGATTTGTAACTTAGGGTCAAAAATCTAAAATAAATTGGGGGATTCGTTGAAAATCTCAAGAAATGAGTAATTCAACAGAGACAGAGTTATCATTAGGATATGAAGAAGAGTCTGGACAAGATATTAAAGCTTTGATTTTTATTTATTTTAAAATATATATATATTTATATTTTATCAAACAATGAGTCTTTCAATATAACAACTCTATTTATTAACTTAAAGTAAAAAACATTTCATTGATTATTTCTCTTTTCAGCAGCTTTCTTAATACCTTCCTTTGTGCGAACTTGCGCGAGCTTAGCTTTCTCTTCAGTTGGCTTGAAAGTACGAATGTTTCCTTTCATTGGGTCTTTTAAGGCGCGTTCCATAGCACATGCTTCTGCTTTTTTAATAAGAAAGGCTTTAACTGGATCACGATGTTTCTTGTATTTCTTTGGCTGTTTTTGATTTGGTTTGACATGTTTAGCCTTTGTTGGAACAGTTAGAGTAGGGCGTCTAGATGCTCCTCCTTGTGGCATTGTCACTTTTTGAAATTTGATCCCTATCATCTATTTTTGGATAAATAATGCATATCTGGCTTGTATTACATTGTTTCTCACTATTACGCGGTCAAAGCCTTGTATATGAAAATAATTGATGAAATTCAAACAATTTCTAAGATTTATATGAACAAATCATGATGACTATTAATCAATAGCTTACAACCTCATATTTTATGTTCATAGATTTGAAGGAATTTGCATTCATTCTGGAGATTTCGAAACATAAATCACATTGATAATTGAATGGAACGATAGACAGTATTTGGTCAATTTATATCCTTATTCTGCAAAAATGCAAGATTTCTATTGTGAAATAAAGTAAAAGCTGATATTAATATGTAAAACGATTTTGCAAATTACCTCAGACTTTCCAGAGGATTGAGTGGCAACTCAATCCTCTGAAATAGTCTGTGGTAATTTTTAGTCTCTACACTATTTCAATATAAGCTCCATTTTTAAACAGTTTTTAAAAATCGAGCATTGAAAAGTGTGATGAGACTTTTTTTACTTTTAAAAGTAAAACCATTCTATCTTGAAATTGAGAGCTTTTTAGCGGTTTGTTCCTCCTTTAAGACTATGCCTCGCCCAGTTCTTCATCAGGAACACTTCAAGATCCCAGAGAACATCAAGTGCACAGTTAAGTCTGGTGTTGTCACAATCGAGCACCAAGATCCAAAGGACAAGAAGACAACAAAGCTCGTCAAGGATCTCTCCCACCTCAAGCTTGACTTCGAGTACGATGAGAAGGATCACCAGATCGTTGCCCGCTGCTGGTTCGGCAACCGCAAGCTCCTTGCCCGTATCGGCACACTCTTTGGCATCGTCAAGAACATGATCACCGGTGTTACACTCGGCTGGCGTTATAAGATGCACTTCGTCTACTCCCACTTCCCAATCAAGCACACATGCTCTGAGGATGGCCGTACATTCGATTTCAACGGTTTCATGGGTCACAAGGAGCACAAGATTGTTACAGCTCCAGAAGGCGTCAGAATCTGGTCCAACGAATCCGTCGCCAAGGATGAGATCAACATCGAAGGTGCCAACCTCGAAGACGTCTCCCTCGTCTGCGGCCAGATCCACCAGCTCACAAAGATCAAAGATAAGGATCTTCGTAAGTTCCTCGATGGTATCTACGTCCAGCACATCGAGCACCTCAAGGAGGAATAAATAAAGAATAATTAATTATTTTCTACGACAAATTACCTATCATTTTTACCTAAAATGAAATTGTTTCGAAGTTTTTTTATTCATTGAACTTTAAAGTTTAAGGGTCCACTGTAAAAATTGAAAGTCTCTCAAAATTGAGAGGCGATTTGCAAATAATTGTTATCGTCTTTTTTCGAAAATCCACTTTTCCTAGTGTTCTGATTAATATTTTGTGAATGTAACAATGAAGTATATGTTTTAATAAGATGATAATATATTCTCTCACTTCAAATCACATAAAAATTGCAAAATCGGCGAGTTTTATAAGAACATGATTTTTTCCTATTTTTTTTGCTTCTGGATGCGTGTTTTGAAAAATAGATATTTTCGAATTTTGATTTTATTATAAGTATAAATTTTATATTAGGAATTTTTTGACCTATTTCCAATCATTAATTCCTAAGTTTTTCTAGGAATTAAATTGAGAAGAAATTAGGAAATTCGCTTTAATGCCATTACATACTAATATTGTGATGCATGTAGTTTATATTTAAAGAGGCTAATGTCGGAATATCGTGCATTTTATAAAAAATTCAGAGAATTGACAATTGGATAGCACAAATTTAATTCTCCAGACAAAGTATTATTGCTTATATATTCAAAACATTATCCTTAGTTTTGAAATGTTGGCAAAAAATTTTCGTGTTATTTTTTGTGTTTCAGCATAAATTATGTATTTACTTATGAAAGATAAGCATTTTATTCATTATCATAAAGATATACCATAACAAATTGATAACATTTAAAAAAAAGTGTATTTTAGTGGGTATTATTCTGGCCAATGCCCATTTTTAAACGATTTAATATTGACCATATCAATAGCCGACTCAATGTAAAAATTTAGATATTATTTTTTTCATTATTCAAACTTTGATAAATTTTAGTATAATAAATGATTTTGTTTCGTGTATGATACAGAAATGAAAAGCTTAATTAATATCATTTTGCATTTTTTCAAGAATGTTAGAGTACATCTACATTAAAAAATCGGATTCGAATTGCGATACTGCATCAAATTGTTGCACATCTGATAAGGATCTCAAAAGAGTAAAGTTGATTTTTTTGTGTTTTTTTAAGTTTTGGGCCTTAGTAAAAACACCATCTTGAGCAATATTTTTGGGATGACGATAGGCCTTATTTGGCCTTACAGTGGACCCTTAAATTTCTCGATTTCATTTTGGAAATTTTTAACATCTTGAATCAAAAGAAAGAAATTAGAAGCTTTAAAACAATGATGACAATTATCCTCAATGTTTGTCCATCAAATGAGAGAATCAATATTCAAATTCAAGAACAAATCAATATTCATAGATTAGCTGGTAAAATCTGAATAACATAGTTTATGCTGTATATGATTATAAATCTTTTTAATGAAATATGAAGCTTTGCAAAAATATTTGTTTGATAAGCATTTTAATATCTTTAACTTACATGACTGAAACTTATATAGTACGCTTGCACTGTCTTTCAGTTCATTTAAATTACGTTTGAAATTTTGATAATTTCTTCATGAGCGAAAAAAACGGTAACAATGGAAAATTGTCGCTCATGCAAAGAAATGAAATCAAACATGTTTCAACTACAGGAAATGATCTCTTTAATCTAAGTAAACCGCTTATTTTGAGCAAAGATAACTCACGTAACAGTTTGCTCAATAAAAGTCTTTCAATGACAGAAGATTCAATCTCGGGAATCGATTTTCCCGCGCATATTTCGCCAAACGAGTTTAGTTTGTCACTTTCAAAATTTAAATCTACAAACCTGCAAAATAGTGCAAATATAGTAACAGAAATAGTTGAAAATCACGAAGTACTTAAGAAATATTTTGATGGATGGCTCAGTATCGTTAAAAAATCACAAGAAAATCAAATAAATTATTTAAACGTCCTTCAAAGACATAATAAGAGATTACTACGAAATAAATTCGATACACTTGTTGAAAGATCCAAGTTATTTGCAAAATTACGCGAAATTGGACAAAATATAAAAATACAACGACATTTTAATTTATGGAGATCATTTCATACACATGAAAGTCAACTAAGGCAACAGTATTTGTTATTTTTGCTTAAAAGACGCCAAATTTACGAAAAATCCTTTTTTATTCAATGGAAAAACAGAATTTCTTTGAATAGAAAAGTTCAAAAGCATGAGAATCAATACTATTTAACACTCCAAGCACAAACATTCCAAGCTTTCAAAGAGAATGTTAAATTATCTCAAAATGAAAAGAAAAACATCAAAAACATCAAAGAAATCAATAGATTTTATTGTCAACGAGTTGCATGGAAGATTTGGAGAACTAGAATACGTCAAAAGAGGCTTGAAAGAGCTTTAATTAACAAAGATAAGAAAATTCTTGTAGAAAAGTACTTTGATCGATGGACTGATGCTTTACAACGTCGTAATCGTCAAAGATCTAAATTAATCAACATAAAAATCTTCGTTCGGAACTCATTAATTCGAAGATATTTACATCTTTGGATAAATCGATATAACGAACGAATGGAAGTTGAGGATTGTGCTTTAGCTTATTCTAATAAGTTTGGAATGAAAATTATTGAAAAATATTTTTATTTATGGATATCAAATTTTAATTCATCGAATTATTATTCGCAATGTGCTCATTCCATTGTTTTATCAATCAACAACATCAAAACAAGGTATTATTTTGGAATTTGGCTCTCAAAATTCCATCAATTACATCATCGAAATAATAATTTGAAAATTTGTGAAGAAAAATACGTAATTCGTCAAGAAAGCAAATATTTTGCACGATGGAAGTCAAAATTCTACTTCACAAGGTTTACTAGACTTAAATCCATTCGTTTTGAGAAAAAAATGGAAAAAATTATTTTAAATTCTTATTTTGCAAGGTGGAGAATGAATTTTCGTATTAAAAACGAAGATGAATTTAATGAGAAACAGTCATGTGAGTTCTACAAGCTTTCTTTGATGATGAAAGCGTTTTCTAGAATGAAAGTTTTCGCTGAAGAAAAAATTAATTTGAAAAGAAAAATTAAAATTGCTGAAAAATTTAGAAAAAATCAGCTTCTTTGGAAAGCTTATCTTTGTTGGAGGAATCAACATAAATATATTGCTAGACAGTGTTTCCTTGTTACATCTGTTTTAAAGGTTTGGTCATTGCAAGCGAAAAAGAAAAGATTTTTGATGTGGCGAAATTTTGTTCTTGATAAAATGAAAAAGAGAAAACAAATGAAAGAAGCTTATGATATATATATATCTAGGTGCTATCAGTTCGTTATCAATGGTTTTGTTGTTGGATCAACAAAGAAAGTTCATCCACCAAAACTAAATGAAATAAAATTCGAAAGTTCAAGTGAAGACCTTCTTAAATCAGATGATGAAAATGAAAAACCAATTCAGATGAAAATAAAATCTGATTTTGTTCCAATCGAACCTCCAAAAAGACCTGACTTTCTTCCATTGAAATAAATTTTTTTTTCTTGAAAAAATCATAATAAAATTTTTGACTAATTTTGATGAGTCGGGAAATTGTTCTAAAACTACGAATATATTGGCTCACATATCAAAAATTGCATTGAAGAGGATAATCTCTTTAGCACATTCGAAGTAGAAGATATCGAATCAATAATGAAATTCGCGAATTTAACTCCTGACGACTTCAATTCTCTTCTTGCGCAATCTAGTTCTGTAATTTCAGCACGTGAATTGTATACTTGCAATCGAAATGCTAATATTTCATGTAACGTGAAATCACACTTTTGAGAGTTTTACGTGGCATTTGCCAGCAAATGTCATGTAAAGTTGTCTCAAATATTAAAAATGAATGTTTTCTTTATTCATACACATTTATTCTGGCCATAAATGACTCCTTTGCTGGATTTGTGTGGTCTTGTGTGTCAATTCCTGGTAATGTGGATTAGTCAATTTTTTTTGACTAGTCAAAAATTTTAATGTTTTCAAAAGATCCCCTTACTCAAGCATGCAAAGAAGGAAATCTCGAACGTATTAAATCTCTTATAGAGAATGGTGATTATAAACAAGTAGAATCTTTAGATCAGCCACTCATTTGGGCATCAAGAAAAGGTCATCTTGAAGTTGTTAATTATCTTATCTCTATTGGAGCTGATAAAGAAGCAAAGGATAATTCTGGAGATACTCCACTCATTTGGGCATCAGAAAATGGTTATCTTGAAGTTGTTGAATATCTTATCTCTATTGGAGCTGATAAAGAAGCAAAGAATAATTCTGGATCTACTCCACTCTTTTGTGCATCAAGAAAAGGTCATCTTGAAGTTGTTAAATATCTTATCTCTGTTGGAGCTGATAAAGAAGCAAAGAATAATGGTGGATGGACTCCACTCATTTGGGCATCAGAAAATGGTCATCTTGAAGTTGCTAATTATCTTATCTCTATTGGAGCTGATAAAGAAGCAAAGGATAATTCTGGAGATACTCCACTCATTTGGGCATCAGAAAATGGTTATCTTGAAGTTGTTAAATATCTTATCTCTGTTGGAGCTGATAAAGAAGCAAAGGATAATTATGGATCTACTCCACTCTTTTGTGCATCAGAAAATGGTCATCTTGAAGTTGTTAAATATCTTATCTCTGTTGGAGCTGATAAAGAAGCAAAGGATAATTATGGATCTACTCCACTCTTTTGTGCATCATATAAAGTCATCTTGAAGTTGTTAAATATCTTATCTCTGTTGGAGCTGATAAAGATGCAAAGGATAATGGTGGAGGGACTCCACTCATTGAAGCATCAACATGTGGTCGTCTTGCAGTTGTTAAATATCTTATCTCTGTTGGAGCTGATAAAGAAACAAAGGATAATGATGGAAAGACTGCTCTTGATTTCGCAAGAGGTTCTGTTAAAAAATATTTATTGAAAGACTAAACAGAATAGAGAATAATTATAAGCAATGCTAAAAATTATTTAACATAAAAAAAAAGATCCATTTGATACTTGTGTTAAAGATATATACTTTTTGAGATAAATGATTAAAAATGAGTATTTGTGTATTAGTAGTTGCTTGTTTATATATAAAATACCCTGTATTTCGAACAATTGAAAATTTATGATTGCATATTTTTCATCAAATACAATCAAATAACATATATTCAAAAGCTAATGTCAATTCAATGATACCTCATGTCTAGACTGTATGCCATACAAATTTTGGCCAAATATGTAAGGATGAATCATGATTATTTAACATATGCAGGGTGTAATACCTGTAGGTGATCCCACACTTAAATTTAACCAACAGATTCCCAAATCCACAGCTAGTCATAGATTTTATTGAAAAAGGGAATCCACGATAAATATATTTTTTGAAGGTTATACCCCCTTTCTAATTAAATTCGAAATGGATTTCAATTATGAAGAAGAAGTAGAAGAAATAAATTACAATATTCCTAATGATGAAGAAGATGATAGACTTGCAAAAGAAGTCGAGCAACTTTTCAAAACAGGTCCTGTAGCTTTTGTTGATTCTTCTTATTGGGATCAGAGATATACAGATAACCCAAAGCATTTCGAGTGGTACTTAGGATTCGACCACTTTCTTCCAGAAATCAAAAAGTTTGTTCCATTGAAGGGAATTGCTGCCAATATCGGCTGTGGAACATCCATAATGGGAATGGAGCTTATAGATGCCGGATTTACTACTGTCGATAATACAGATATTTCACACGTTGCAATTGATCACATGAAAGAATTATTTAAAGATGTGAAAAATGTCAATTGGATTTTGGATGATTGTACTAATACTAAGCTAGAAAAGAATCATTACGACGTAATCTTCGATAAAGGAACACTAGATGCTTTAATTTGCTGTGATGATCCAGATGACATACTAAACGACATTTTCAAGGGCGTAATCAACTCATTAAAGCCAGGAGGCTACTTCGTAGAGATTTCTTTTGGATGCCCAGAAGAAAGGCAAGAATATTTCGATGTTGAAGGTTTAAACTGGAATCAAGTAATTATTTGTACTCTTAGCTCAGAATTAACAAAAACTACACCTTATTTCATTTACATTTACAGAAAAAATTTCAAATGAAATAATTTTTAAGAAATTTATCATTTTAATATATACAAAACTATTACTTCAAGTCATTTATGACAGATTTATCTTGATTTAAGTAATTTTTTTTAATTTGAATTTTTTTATTTACTCAATGATTTTTAACTTTGAGTTTACTAATAAACATTAATGTTTGTTTTTATACTTAATATTTTTACATATGTTTCAAATTGAATCTCAATGTTGTATCAATATTTTGAAAAATTATTAACATTTATTGATTCCTCCAATCTAAAACATAATGCTAACAGGAATTAAAGCTATTATCATCTTAACAAAGATTTGTATTCCATTATTCTTGTTCTTATATTCTTAATAAAGCATAATTTTCGGAATAACTTAATAATTTCGGCATCACAAATGATATATAAAAAGAAATGAAATTATATAAATCGAGGTTCAAATTCAATTGAAATAAAAATGTGTACGTTTATAGATTTTAGTAATATCAAAAAATTGGATGGAAAAGGCGGATATTTCTTCAGAACAAGAAGAGAATCCTCTTAAAATCCATGATTGTAGTGTTTCAACGGAGATTCTTGAATTAAAAACTAATTATGATGAAAATATTATGACATCCGAGAAAGATATAGCCAAAATTAGGAAGAAAAAGAAAGTGAGACAACCTAAACAGAAAAAGAAAGATAAATATTCTTTGATAAACCCATCTCCACAAGGTGATTCAGTTCTTTCTTTTAATCCGTATAAAAAACCAGAATTTACAGAAAAATATACACTTCTGGCACTACAAGAACTTAATATAGACCCAATTCAACTACAATATCCAAGCAATGAAGAAATTTCCAAAATATCATCTCGTAAAAGATTAATTCGCATTACAAGAGAAAAAGAATATCAAAAACGTGATCAACTAATTGAGCTTGTTAAATCAAAAAGAGAAGAAATTATTAGATCTGAGAATGTGACAATCAAATTAGATAATGCAGATGAAGATAGTAAATCTATATTGGTACAAGGTAACATTGATTCTTCATATACAGAAATAGCTGCAGCACCTATAATTGTAACAATTAATACAGATGATGGTTCCGAAACACTACAAAATGAATTTTCAAATGATCAAAATGATATTGATAATTTATTGTTTGATGATATATCTAAAAACGACAACGCATCTATAGTTGACGACTTTTTAAGACAGAAACTCAAAGAAAGAGAAAAGAGACGAGAAGAGAGGCTTCAAAAAATATTAGATGAGAAAAATAAAAAGGAAGAAGAAGTTAGAAAATCTGCATTAGAACGAATCAAGAAAGAGAGTGAACAAATAGAACAAAGTCGGAAGGAAAGAAATAATAATGCATATATTGTTGGTGTAGCAAGAGAAATCAAACTTCTTTCAGCGAGGGAAAACTTGAAAGAAATTGTCCAATCAAGAGTTCAAAAGGTTCATGCATTAGAAGAGGATTTACATGCAAAAGAAGCAGCAGCAATTCAAAGAGCGCAAAATGAAAGGAAAAAAGAAGAGGAAAAGATGGCTAAAAAACTTCAACAAGCAGAGGAACAAAGAAAAATTGCTTTGAGCAATCAACAGGAATTCCAACAGAAATTGCAAAAAGTTATGGAAGAAAAGGAACAATGTCTCAAACAGAGATTAGTAGAAGTTACAAATCAGAAAAAGCTTGAAGCTCAAGAGCATAAAATGAAAATAATGCAAAGAGCTGAACGAGCTGCTGCCTTAAGAAAGCAGCGTAGAGAAGAAAAAATGATGAAATTACAAGAAAAAATTAGAAATGATGAAGAAAGAGTCAGAAAATCTGATCATGAAAGAATAGAAAAACAAATGAGTGGGGTTTTTAGAAGATATAGTACATAGTCTATACATACTCATTATTTTTCTTTTAATTTATATATTAAATGTTTGTATAGAGATTTTATTATAATTCAAGCCTTTTTTTTATTTCCAAAAGCATTTCGCATGCAAGAATTGGAATAAGATGTTATTAGTAGTGAATGCAAATTTCTGGATATAACTCATAAATAATTATACAAATATCTATTTAAGGATACACTTAAGCCCATTTGAGTTTAATGCAAACTCCAGAAAATGGATTCATATTTACAAGCAATATTTCCTCTTAAACTTTTTATGATTGAAACTCTTAAACAATATCATAAATTGAGATATATCTCCCAAGATTCTAAGTTTTGCTTCATGGAAAGATCTAAGTTTTTAGTCGTTCTTGCGAATCTTCAAGTCTTCTCTCTGATGTGTTGGGAAACATTTTTCATATAAGATTCTCAAAGGCTCATATTGACGAAGATACCATAGACACTAAATATGAAATGAATGAAATGTCATATTGTTGTAAAATGAATTTTCGCTGCATAGTTTTTCACCTAAGTCTCAAGTTAAGCTTCTTATGATCTATTCTATCTTTACCATAAATATGAGTCTTTTTCCCAGGCTAGAAATGCTGAGAGCGCACTTAAACATTATAGTAAGTAAAAAAGATGAATGAAATACCATATTGTTGTAAGTAAAAAAGATGAATGAAATATCATATTAAAAAAAAAAAGGTAGTGGGGCCTCCAGGCACTTCGTGCCCTCTAGCCCTGAAGATGTTTAGTATAACTTTGTCCGGACAAGTAAGGGTCTATCGTCGCTACAGGAAAAGTTACAGGCGTTCCAAGGAAGTATACTTTGAGAAGCCTTTTCTGTCACTTTTCAGGTAAAAACATTTTTATTATATATATAAAATGAATTTTACAAAACCACCGTTACCCTTCTTTGGAAATAAGAGTAGATGTAAAGATATTCTATTGAGAGAACTTAGTTAGTATACCTAAGTCGTGTACAGAGGCACTGCGCGCCTCCATACACCACTTAGCTGTTTTGACACTTTACAAAACTGGTAACGTATATTTTACAATACAACCATAACACCAACTTAACCTTAAATATTTACAAAACCGTCTGACACATAAACGACTTCACTAATGAATTCACTAATGAATTCACTAATGAATTCACTAACGACTTCACTAACGACTTCACTAACGACTTCACTAATGAAAAAATAAACGTTTTCACAAACGACTTCACTACTGTAAAAAATAAACGTTCTCACTTACAAAAGTATTGCAACTCTTCCCATTGCTGTGCTTCACACAATAGTTCATATTCTTCAGTATCGCTGCTGTCGCTCCAATCGTCAGAGTCAAAATCACTGTCATAGTTTATACCTGTAAGTTTTGACAAAGCTAATGAAACACGTTTACCGTTTGTATCGTATGCTTGTATAAACTTTCCATTCTTCATTCCTTCATAAACGCTCAAACTAACTTTACCCTTTCTCCCTCGTATCTGATAGAATGTATTTTCACGAGGAACGAAGAACAAATTCTTGAACTCATGACCGTTGTAGTTTGTTATCTCAATAGTTTTCGTCATTTATATAAAAATAAAAATTTTCAGTAAAATAAAAAATAAACTTAAAAATAAATGATATCACCACCCTCACACGTATGAAAACATCCATTTAAATTTAGGTGAAGTGGTGAGATCTCACCTCTTTTTTCACCTGTTTTTTCACCCTGTTGAATTCATTGCTTTATAACTCTCTTCCTTTCTCCAACTCTTCTAACTTCTTCTTAAGTTCAGCAATGTTGTCCTCATGAAGTTTAATCTTTCTCAAAATTCCTTCTTTATCTAATGGTTGCTTTATCTTTCTAAACTGAACTCTACCATCCTTCATAGTATGAATGTAAAAACCTTCTGGAATAATTCCTGATTTAATGTATTCTACCAAAAACTTTTGTTTCATTGCTTCAGTGACTTTAGTCGTCATTTTACTCTAAGGTGAAGCTAGCACAGCGATAATGGATTTCATGACTTTTTAGTATTTCATGCAATCTTAACAGATAGCCTTACAAGTACTTCCAGTGTCCCTAGCTGTCCCTCCTTTTTATATAACTCCATGACATTTATAATCTCGCGAAACTTAACAGGTAGCATAACAGATTAAAATCAGATGAGGTTTTGAACCAAAATTTCTAAGCAACGTTGTCAAGGATTTTGAGGAACTAGGGACAGGGTGTGGCAAAGTCCAAGATTTAATTTATCTTCATCTGTTTCATCAGCTATCTCGTCTAATATGCCAATATTTTATTCATAACTCGTGGCAAACTCACTAACTTTCATTATGTTCATCTGCATGCTTCATCTGATAGAAAGTATGACTTTCATTAACTCTGTGAGATAATGAAAACTACTAGGGACAGAGACCATGGCAAAGTTTATGACTTTCATTATTTCCAGAACTTAATGAAAACTACTAGGGACAGAGACCATGGCAAAGTTCATGATTTAATTTATTCTCTCACTAACAACAAACACAAACTCCAACACTAACGACAAAAATAAATGTCCTCACTTCTTAACAAAGTAATATGTGCTTCTTACACCACCATAGCTCAAACGTTTCTTTTCAAACATCGATTGAAACTTATTTTGAGCCATTGGCTTTAGTCTCTTTTTCTTCAAATACGCCAAGAAATCTTCTTCACATCTTTTCACTTCATAGCCTTCTTTAAACTCCTCCTTGTTAAGTTCTATGAAATCCTTTATCTCATTCTTTGTTGCAATGGCTTCTTCACGAACGACATCGTGAACTATTTCATCATTGCATTCATGTATGACCTCCTCACTGTCTTTCATAACGTTTCATCACTGTTCTCATGTATGACCTCCTCACTGTTCTCATGAACTATTTCAACACTGTTCTCATGAACGACCTCCTCACTGTCTTTCATAAGCGTTTCAAAGTCTCCTTTACTCATTACTTCAATCTCATGCTGTTCACAATAGTACTTAAACTCACTGTATATGTCTTTGTTGTATGTTATATTGCTTCCCATGTACTCCATGAATTTTTCAAGCACTTCCTCATAATTCACTGTTTCTTTCTTTCCACGACCTTCTAATATCATACTTGCTTCGTAAATATAACTTCTTGCAGAACCGTCTCGCTTTCTACTTCTCTTCACAAATTCTCTCATCTTGCCACCAAATACATTTGAACTACATGCAAAGAATTCATTCTCCTTCGCAAATTCTTTATATCTTCTGTAGCACTCTGTACAATTCCATCCGGATACAAACTTTTCATAGAACTCCTCGTAAAACATTTGGTAAGGTGTTTTGTTCATTTCGATGAGTTCTTGTTTAGCCCTGGTGAATGGTATCTTCCTTACATCAAATTCACTTAAATCTTTCCTCATGAAGTACGTCAGTAAGTTTGAATAAAACTCTTCATTAAAGCTTTCAATGAGATTTGAGAAATATTCGTAATTTCCTTTGTATCTGCTGCTTACGTCAATGACAACAAATCTTCTGTCGTCTTTGTCAATCTTTACTGAGTTGAAGTTGTTAGATATCATGATGATATTACAAACATTCTCTATCTTTCTTACTGGCTGACACTTCTGATTTAAGTCCAACTGAGTCTCTGTTACTATTGACTTTAGTGCGTCGTGGTTCATGACCTTAGACGTATCGCATGAGCTTAGTTCATTGCATACGATGAGCTTCATGTTCTCAATAGCAGCATTGAATCTACCAACCACATTCTCTATTGCCGTTATATTATTGTTGGCGTACTTGCTAATGAGCTCGCATAGAACATTACTAAGTACATTCTTACCAGTTCCTTGCTTTCCTATTAACAAAAGTACTGTTCCAGTCTTTCCACAAGGATTTTGAACGATGTAGGCGAACCAGTTCAAAACATACTCATAAAGCTCTTCATCCTCATTACATATGACATCGTGAACATGTTTCAAATATCCTTCAATAATGCTTTCATCTACTTCATTCAGTACCTCATACTCATATCCTCTGAAATAGCTGTAAATGTCATCTCTTTCGTCAAAGAATCTCATGCCTGACTTCATAAGATAGTTCTTGTTCTGACCCGCTTCATAAATCATCAGTGCGTTCACATCCTTCTCCTCAATACGTCCTACATAAATACTCTTCATGAGCTTATTGAATTCCTTGCTATCTACTGACACAAGTGTTGTTGTGTCTCGTATTCCATCATAATCTTTCACTAGATATGTCATACGTGCTCCGTCAATAACAACAACACATCTTCTTAAGTCATTTATAACACTAGCTATGTCAATACCGTCCTCACTCATGTACTTATTTTCCTCAAGTCCTTTAGTGTGAAAGTGTCTCTAAGTTCTATTTCAAGCAATTCATTTACACATCCTTTGCAATACTTCTCTATAAAATATTTCTGTCGTTCTTTACTAAGTTTCTTAACAGCTCTGAAGAACCATGTGTTTTGACTCAAACATCCTTCACAACTTCTCTCATTCATTCCTAGTTCTTTCATGTCATTATCTTCAACCTCTATGGTCTCATTGACTAAGGTCAAAGGGTTCTTAGTCATTGCTGGTCTTATCTGAAACAATGTTTGTGCAACAGGTTTAACTAGTTCAGCAACGTCCTTCCTTAATATGAATAGCTGTTTCCACTCATCTTTGCTAACAGTTCTTTCATAACCACTGACAGTAATGATTTCATTTGCTGACCTTAGACGCTTATGTTCTATCATTTGTATTGCTTTTGTGTAAGGCTTTCGTGAGCATAGGTTGTATATGTCATTCCTGCAATGTTCATTCATGCCAATAGTACTAAATCCTTTCTTTGCTGTTGAATGCATAATATCCATTAGTTCCTGTGTTCGTATTGCTGTCTCATAAAATACAACAAGACCTTTGTCATCTATGACGTACTTACCGAAAACATTGCTTATATTCTTTAACCATGAAATAACATCCTCATTCATGCTGTCAAACATGAAG